AATCTGTCGATTTCCTCCAAGATTGTAAGAAGAAATAAAAATTCCCTCAGAGCCCGGCACCTGGCTCGTAGACCAGCTCAGAAAACGGCCTGGATTCAATTTGCAAGGGAACATGTGAATTGAACATTGGAAGGTTGAGGACGAGTACTCTTTACAGATGAGGTGGGAGCTGGCCTCAAATCTTCAGATGGGCGAAATTCCATATGGAGACGCTCAGGACAACACATGCTTTATGGTTCCTCAAGTGGCATTTCACGGTGGGTCATTGATGTTCTGGCGTGGCATGTACTTGGACGTACGCCCCAAATTGGCTGTTGTGCGGGGAAGATCTCTAACCTCCCAGACGTACTTACAAGACATAATCGACGAACATGTAGTGCCATTCACCCCCACATCGATGAGATTCTTACTAATGCAGGATAATGGCAGGCCCCTATACAACACGTATTGTAGGTTATTACCTACAAGGTTCTTCCCACCTCATTAGGGTGGAATTTAGTGGCCAGATCGAAGTCCAGATTTGAACCCAATCGAACACATTTGGGACCGACGTAAGCGACGAGTACGATGGCGAAACCCAAATCCTACCTAATACCCTAAAAGAGTTGGAAACAACTATTCTTGATGAATGGGAAAAAATTTCGCAGGGTTTTACCAGAAATTTATTCCATGGAATGCAAAGACGTTTAAAGGACGTGATTCGTGCCAAAGCTGGAAATTTACTCGGCATTAAAAGGGCCAAAAATGAATCTATTGATTCATAAGATATATTGATATACATGGGCACTCTCGACACGACACGCAAGAATGGCACAATTACACAGAAGACACTTTGACGGACACTGTGAGTCCTGAAGATGATCTCAATAAAGATCGAAACGTTGGCACGATAAAGAAAATGTTTTTCTGAAACCTACATCACACCAGACCGCATCTCACGATTTCTAAATNCCTTCCGAAAACCATGGTTTTTTCTTGAGCTCAGGGAACAGTGACCTGTAATAATTGCCAACCTTTGATGCGTTGTATTTTTCTTGCCACAGATTTCTACAAAACTTTTCCAAAAAGTTTTTCCCGTCATCTTTAGGAATTTTAATGTCAAGAGTTGGACCTGATGTTGCAGCCTCCTTTGCAAGTGCGTCCACCGTTTCATTTTGCCATAAACCTGCATGCCCTTTCACCCAACACAATGCCACCCTTTTTCCCATGATTTTTGTCTCAAGCATTTTCTTACAGATTTGGGCAAAATATTGTTTCTGCATTTATATTCTGGGGTAATGTTATTTATCTTTCTACAATGCTTCGACAGTCTGTGAGGATACAAAATTTAGAATCACCCAATTTTCGTATGTAATAAATATACATACATTGATTTATCACATAATATGTAATAATATATATTTATGATATAATAATTGTATAAACCATTGTTTGGATCTGCTGGAATTATTTAAACACGGATAGATGTGACTTAAATTAATGCTACCTACCCCCGTTGCTACTCGGAGGCTAATTTGATACGCATAACGTATCACGCTGATTCTCCTAGTTTGGTCTATCAGAAGAATTGCGCCTTCTTCGGTGAAGTCATAAGTTATTTTGTAAATAGTACTGTTATAAGTAAAACTCGGAGGATAGGCCACTCAAGATGACCGAGAAAGGCTACCGGTTCACCATCCCGCAGACCTCAACAAGAAATTTCATACTTCGTTCTAGACATCTTGTGGGCGGTTGTCCTGTTCTCGGTGTCGTGTGGGGTGAATGTCTTGGTGCTCTGGGCGACCCGAATAATGGGAAGAATGTGGACTTTTCCAGAGCAATTTAAGAGATGTAAATGGTTTTAATCCACATCTCCCGATACGTTCGAATAATAAAGACAGGTATGGTGTATAACTAATAAATGATACTTTGGCTAATATCTAACCCATAAAGCCAGGAGAAATACATATTTCCTGTATGTTTAGATTCAGGTATAGAAAACGCAATGACGTACAAATATCGTTAAACATTGATTTATTAGTACACCTAAAAAAGTCCACTTTTCAGACTCTTCTGGAATGTCACCATTAAAGAATCAGCGACACTGTTGCCTTGCTGGATAATCTCTCGTTCATATTCTCCAAACACAAAACGGTCGTATAAATATATGGTTATTAGCTAATGGCTATAAAAACTGTTTTAAAATCAGATTTGCCCCGGCATTAAAAATTTGTATGGGCGAATAGGATTAACGTTTTATGCTAAATATGACCAGCTGTAAACAGAAATACTCTTGCGTCGTTCTTTAATAAAGGAAACGTAAATTCTTTTTCTAATTGTAGGTCTAAAATATTAGTTTTAGGTTATTCGATCTTTACCGAATCTATCGATCTTTTGGTCTGCCTAAACTAGCTGTTTGGCAGGTCAGACAATAAGCATAAATCAACACACTTTATTCTGTAAGTGCAAATCTGATAATTGTAGTTACCTATTTACTTATACTTATCTTCACCTGTTTTATCAATCATTTCCTTACTTTTCCCTGAACCATCACTGAAAAGATGATCCCTGAAATGCCGAGAAGCATCTGACAAGCCAAATCAGCAAAGATTGACAGACCAAATTACTGGTCTGATTAGAAGTAGAAGAAGTAGCCTGTAGAAGAAATCTCACAATCGTTTTTAGGTGGATTTCGAACAGTTAATTGGGTTGTATATGGTACGTTGTATCTCCCGTACGGTCTTTGACTTATATCCTGACTCGTTTAGCGATTTTTACACTTTTCTACCTCATTAAATGTACATTATCCTGTTAATGAAGTTAATACGAAATGTTTGACTTCCAATGTTTCCCGAAATGGTAAAGTTTCTACAATTTTTCCAAGTATACTATTTTGAGATATAGCGACTCTTACATACACCGTATGGCGTAAAATAGAAGTATGTACTGTATATGTTCTAATTATTGTTCAACTGAGTCAATACTGTACATGTAGCATACTACAACCTTCAAATTCTGTCTATCTAAAACAGAGTTAAAATTATGAGATATGTGTGGTGATTAGTGACCGTTAATCGATAATTATTCAGAAATCGTGAGATGCGGTCTGGTGTCAGGTAGGTTTCAGAAAAACATTTTCTTTATCTTGCCAACGTTTCGATCTTTATTGAGATCATCTTCAGGGCTCAAAGTGTTTGTCTTCTGTGTAATTGTGCCATTCTTGCGTGTCGTGTTGAGAGTGCCATCGAAACGTCGGCATTATAAAGAAAATGTTTTTCTGAAACCTACATCACACCAGACCGCATCTTACGATTTCTGAATAATTATGGGATATCTAAAATATCTATCTTTGTGTCCAGTACCATAGTAAAAATTGCCATACCGTTTGTGCACTATTCAATGATGAACATAATTATACAACCATCTCATAGTACAATGTGTGTGTACGATTCTATTTCATACGCCCATAATACGCTCCTAACAGTGTGTTTTTCATCGGCGAATATTATATTAATTATATGAAAAAGTGTCACGAGCGGGATTCGAACCCGAAGGTAACTTTTTACTAACTTGTTAACTTTTTAATTTCAACCAATAACTTACATAAAGATTAATTAATTGTTTAAATTGCCATATTTAGTATGATTCAAAATCTCTTATAAAATATTAAGTTTTCACTTCATATTTTCAGCAAAATGGATAAAATATATTGAGTCTGCACTTACATTCTTTGCATAAAAATTAATACTTGACGACGTAATTGCCCGCATTAATTGTTTAATTATACTTTTTATCTACGGTCTTGAGATGAAAAATCAAGTGTCAAGAGCGGGATTCGAACCCACGATCTTCAGTTGAATACGCTGCTGCTCTAACCATTGAAGTAACGATAGCTCATGTGATTAGAGCAGCGGCGGATTTAGCGGAAGGTCGTGGGTTCGAATCCCGCTCGTGACATTAACTTTTTCATTTCAACCAATACCTTTCATAAAGATTAATTAATTAATTATATTTCCATATTTAGTAATGCTTCAAAACCTCTTATAAAGTATTACGTTTTCACTTCATAATTTCAGCAAATTGAATAAAATGTTTCAGTCTGCACTTACCTTCTTTGCATAAAAATGAACACTTGACGACATAATTGCCCGCATTAATTGTTTAATTATACTTTTTATCTAAGATCTTGGTTGAGATGAAAAAGCAAGTGTCACGAGCGGGTTTCGAACCCACGATGTTCAGTTGAATAAGCTGCTGCTCTAACCATTGAAGTAACGATAGCTCAAGTGGTTAGAACAGCGGCGGATGTAGCAGAAGGTCGTGGGTTCGAATCCCGCTCGTGACACTGACTTTTTCAAATCAAGCAAGACGATAGATAAATGGTATAATTAATTTAATTAATACTTACCTTCTACATGTTAGAAGAACACAGCACAAACATAGTAATAAATCGGGAGAATGGTAAAGGTAAAAAAATATCACAAATCTTTTTTTTTACTTTTTTAATAAACCAATTTAAACTGATTTTTTTACTTTGTGTGATTTAAATAAATTAGCGTCAACTTCTCATAGAATACATCTTTTGAGGCGAATCGTTTGAGATATTTTTTTTTCACATTTTCATATAAAAATTTTATATATTTATATATAGTTAAATTTTATTTATAAATCAAATATATTCTTGTATATATATTTTTTTTTACATTTACACAATATTTACTTCGAATGTTACACTTCTCGTTTTAAAATATTTAAATTGCAAAATATCATCAAGAATTAGGCCTAATATTTGCAGTAAACACATATTAAGTTGAGGCCTTGATTTTCGAGTGTCAACAGTACCGTCATTGATACCGTTGAATCTAGGCCGTAGTAGTATATTTTCTAAATTATATATATGTTTGTTATTGACAAATGATAGGCCTTTAAAAAAGTAACACATGGTTATTCTTGAATCTTCATAAAATAAAATGAATTTAAAATAAAGAAAATCGTTTTTTTTTGTTTATGTTTTTTTGTCTTTTTTTTGTCTTTTATACTTTTCGAAACATCTAACCGTATTTACATATTTTATTTATATAGTAATAAAATTATTTACAACTGCTTCACATTTAAATAAGAAAGTCACTTGACAAAAACAAAATGAAATAACTTGTCTTGTCGACGCGAAAAACAAACTAAAAAATTACGATTTCCTCATCGTCCTATTCCACTTTGTTCAGTGCCTCTTTTACACAACAAATATTGTTTGTCCAGATAACATATCACAAAAAAGGACAACAAAGCAGAATTATTTACAGGATATGTTTATTGAGGACTAGACGACAGGGTACTTATCGTGCATGTAAGTGTGAGCCGGCGGTTCGTGAGCACAGTCGGTCTGCCTGTTCGGCGGAGGAGCGTAGCTGGTCGGATGATGGCCGTGATGGTGGTAATCGTAGCCGGAAGCGGCACCGCCTCCGTAAACCTGCTGGGACGGTCCAGGAGGAGGGAAGTAATCGTGCACGTTCCCGTAGTACGAGTAGCCCTGGGGGTAGTTCTGCCCCTGGCTCCAGCACCATGCCGGCAGGTCGGTGCTGTGCTGCGGATACGCCGGAGTCAGAGGGGGACTCGGAGTCCCGACGCCCGAACTCGCTGCACTTCCTCCGCCGATCGGGGAGCACGTTTTGACCAGCGGCTCTGTTTTGACTTCGTCCAAGCCGATCGGGGAGCACGGCGAAGACTTTATGGATTTGTTGGATGACTTGTTACCACCGGCGCTGTTCTTCGTGCCCGCAGCCGCCTGCTGTTGCTGTTGCTGTTGGAGCTGCTGGCGACATTTGGCTCGTCGGTTTTTGAACCATACCTAAAACAAAACAAATCACTCGTGAGTTTCTATAGAAATAAATACATAGAATTTTATTTTATTAAGCAGGCTAACAAACAGACAATTTGGCACCCTAATGCAACAAAAATATTGGGTTGTTTCACATGAAATGTCCGATTTTATAGTTTCTGAAATTCAGGGAGTATATAGCGATTTTCTGTTGTTTACTTCCAATTGTTTACATATTATAATTAAGCAGGTATTAATCCTTCACTTTTGTTTATAATAATGAGCTCCCCAATCCATTATATACTTTTTAGTATAGCACCAAATATGAACACGGAAACACGATTTTCGTGTAATATTCCTTGACGAGTTTAAATTCGGTCATTCGGTAGCTGAGGCTACAAGAAACATCAGTTAGCCGTTTGGGGAAGGAAGTGTAAATGAACGGACCATTCGCCGTTGGTTTGCAAAGTTTTCGGAAGGGAATATCAAATTGGAAAACGAGCCCCGCGGAAGACCTCCAACTTTACTTGACAACGATGACCTTATGTCCATTAGATTTCGTGAACCGATTGACCAAATAACATCTTTCAATTAATTAATCTTTATGTAAGGTATTGGTTGAGATAAAAAAGCCATTGCCAGGAGCGTGATTCGAACCCACTACCTTCGGCAAAATACACCACTGCTCTTTGCACTTCCAAATGTGTCCGAGTGGATCGAAGTCACGATAGCTCAGGTGGTAGAACAGCGGCGTATTAAGCCGAAGGTCGTGGTTTCGAATCCCGCTCGTGGCACTGACTTTTTTTTATCTGAACCAATACCTTCCATAAAGATTAATTAATTGAAAGATGTCCTAAAGCTTCAGGTGGAAGAAAACCAGTATCAAACAGTCAGAGGACTGCCAGCACTGTGCAGCTACAGTGTCAAGACAATTAAGGAACATAGGAAAAGTCAAAAAGCTTGATGTATGGAGCTTACTGAGCGACAGTGGCAAGACCGCTTTGTGACATGCGTTTCGTTGCTCGCCAGGCAAAAACCGAGCCTTTTCTTGAAAAAATAACTACTTGCGATGAACAATGAATTGCATATGACAATCAGCCTCGGTCAGGGCAGTGGTTAAACATCGACGAAAGATCACACAAGCCAAAACCAAATTTACACCCAAAGAAATTTGTGGTGACCGTATGTTGGTCCATGGTTGGAATTATTGACTACTCCTTTTTGCCTAGGGGTGAGACCATTACCTCTACATAGCACTACAAGGAAATTGACGAAATGCATAAAAAAAACAACCCGCATGTTAAATCGGAAAAGTCCTATACTCCTCCACGACAACGCCAGGCCTCATATTTCAAAACATACTGTGAACAAATTGAAAGATCTAAGCTACGAAGTTCTTCAGCATCTACCTCATTCTCCAGCAGATTTTCACCTGTTTAAAAATTTAGACAACTTCGTCAAAGGAAATTTTTTTGAAAATGGTGTTCAAGGCCAAAAAGCGTTTTCAGATTTTGTTTAATTTAAAATTAATTAATTAAAAATAAATTAAATTCTTCAGTTCCGGCATAAAAAGTTGGTCAAGCGTTGGGAAAACTGTGTAGAAAATTAAGCCAAATGCTTCGAATAAAATGATTTTGTATTTATATAGTAATTTCACTAAAAAACCTGTACCTTGGAAACGTACTATTCATGTGAAGCAACCCAATACATCACTAGTACTCCACCATGATGTAAATATTACTTTTTGTGTAATTCTTTATTAATAAATCTTAATGAGGAGGCACCAGAAAAATGTGTGAGCCTACAGAAGAGATAATATGCAGAATACCTCACAATGTGAGGGAGCAAGCCTGAAGAGATGAAGGGGAACAATCGGGAAAGCCAATTTGTTAAAGGCATTTAAGAGTCTCGTCCTAATCGTCGGAGGGTGTGCGTACGTTGTTAGCGGGGTTGTTAGTTGTTAGCATCTCTTATCAAGCGACGGCGCACTCCCTCGCCAATTAGCAGGAGTACTTTGAGCGGGCAGGTGACCACCCTACCTGCACAATAACTCTTCTTATCATGCCCCATTAATATCAAAGCCTCATCCCATCAGGGAAAAGACCGCCTTTCATCAGCATGATTAGATCAACTCCCTTTTAAATCTCCCTTTCATTGTTCAGACGCTTTATGACGTCAAATGCGACTTCAATCCGAACGTTTGATCCTGGCGATTTAACAGTAGGCGTGTTTACGGCCGACGAGTTCACAAATGGTTGTTTAAGGCAGGGTCTAATTTCTCTGCTTACCAGTTGAGAATTTTTTATTCATAATCAAATATATTCCTTGAGCAGGGTGATACAGGGTTTATTCCAAAAATATTCTAAATATTCGTGCTTCAAATATACCAAAAACTGCCATCGCCAACATTCATGAACTGTATGGCAACTCATAATTTTCAAATCAGGTGACCAGACCAACTTGTGAAATACTACCTAAAAATTGATAGTTTACTCTCAAAATTATAGAAAACTAGTGACTGGGGGAATAAACTGGGAGACTAGTCATTCCATTTACAACTTTACCAAAACATGGCAAACAACTATTGCATTTTGGAAAAAAATATTTCTTATCCAATTTAATTATACCTTTTTGGTATAAATACATAATTATTCAAATTCTCAGAGAAACCATGTCCGCTAAGTGACAAAAACAATAATAGATGTTCTCTTTGCTTCTAGTGTTTTGGGATGGTTATAGCGCAGTATGAAATATTGTAAGTTACAAATTAAAAGTTTGTTTAAATGTGTGGTGTTTAGTGACAGTTAGTCAATGATTATTTGGAGATCGTGAGATGCGGTCTGGTATGACGTAGGTTTTAGAAAAACTTTTTCTTTACGTGCCAACGTTCGATCTTTATTAAGATCATCTTCAGAGCCTGGGATTTACAAACATTGTTTAAATTTTACAAATACATGTAGGATGTGAAAAAATGAATTTATACAATGCTAGAATATTTTAGATTAAAAAAGATGAAGTTGAAGTTATACAATGCTAGAAAAATTTTAGATTAAAAAAATGAATTTTTTCCAATTAATTAATCTTTAATTAAGGTTTTGGTTGAGATAAAAAAGTCAGTGTCACAAGCACGATTCGAAAAATGGTAAAAAGGAGGGAAAATTCAAACGGTGGGGTTGAGATGGGAAGTTGGTGTCCTAGTGGATCGAAGACCAGCCGAAGGTAGTGGGTTCGAATCCTCTTGTGGCCCTGCTTTTTTTTATCTCAACCCAAACCTTAATTAAAGATTAATTAATTCAAAATAATTTATTTGGTCAAGCGGAACTAATAAAAGTAAAAATGAATTTTTTTTAGATTAGTGAAAATGAATCTAAAAATTTTCTAGCATTCTATAAATTCATTTTTTTTAATCCAAACTTTTCTAGCATTGTATAAATTCATTTTTTAATCTAAAATTTCTACCATTGTATAAATTCATTTGTAAAATTTAAACAATGTTATAAATCCGAGGCCCTGAAGACGATCTCAATAAAAATCGAAACATTGGCAGGATAAAGAAAATGTTTTTCTAAACCTAGGTCACACCAGACCGCATCTCACGATCTCCTAATAATCAAATTGTGTTTAAACTTAAGTTAACCTTCTCTGGGGAGTGTTTAGGACTTAAATTTTGGCTAAAGTACTATTACTCAGTGACGTTTTTCTATAAATTCCTCATTTGTCGTAATTGTGTTCTTGTACGAATCGATTATAACAGACGGGAAAAAAATAAGCCGGAAACCGATGTTGGACTAAAAATCCCGTTAAAAGGAAACCACCGGCAGCATAAAGGGATTTATTTGTATTCGGAACCTCTGCCGACATGAGTTTGACAAATGGAACGGTGTACAACGAGAATAGAAGAGGCTACTGTTTGGTTAGGATGAACACATCAGGGGCAAACACGGGCCACAATGGCAGACCTGTGTGTGCACTAATGATTGGGGCTCGTCCTGCCAGTCGGAGGTATATATGACCGATCAAAAGGTGGCTACGGTTCAAATCCGTCTTCTTACCTGAACTCTGGACTCCGGCAGGTTGATCTTCAGCGCCACCTCCTCCCTCATGAAGATGTCCGGGTAACGCGTCTTGGCGAATAAAGCCTCTAAAACGTCGAGTTGTGCCCTCGTGAACGTGGTCCGTTCTCGTCTCTGCTTGCGTGGATTCATACCTGAGAGAAAGAGAGAGAAAACAAAGGTTAACAAGATGGGGACTGAATTCAGGGGGCCCTGGTATTTATAGTTTGGGACCGGTTCAGCGGCAGCCATGCGCCTGTTCCCGGCCATCCCACAAAGACACCCACAACACAAATTCTTACTCGGTGCTAAATTAACCCTTAACACTGGAACAATTATTAATAACATTTTTAATAGTACATAATACCACAAATTGGGAGTTTTTGTCCGAACAACTATGAAGGAATTAATCTACTCAACCATTAACATTTACAAAACTTAAAATAAATGCTCTAAACTTATAAATAAAGCAATAAAAAATTAATAAAATAATATATAATACTGCTATCCTTTAATATTTCGAAAATAATTGCATAAACTTGAAAATAAAGACCATTAAGTTCGACTAAATTTTATTTAACCGATAGTATTAGTGAGCCAATTTTGGTAAATAATTTGTTGTTTATATCGGGTTTGTTTATTTTGGGTGAAGTTTTTTATATTTTATTTATTTATGGGGAAGGAGCCATCAATAATCAACTCTTGCCGATTGTTTCAAATTGAACATTTGATTATACAATTTTGATTTTTTTGGAATTTAAATATTATGAAATAAGATTATATATTATATTCGAAAGGTTGTAGATTGAAATGGGTAGTTGGTGTCCGAGTGGATCGAAGTCACGATAGCTCAAGTGGTAGAGCAGCGGCGTATGTAGCCGAAGGTAGCGGGTTCGAATCCCGCTCGTAGCACTAGCTTTTTCATTTCAACCAAAAACCTTACATAAAAAGATTAATTAATTGAAATAAGTAATTTGGTCAATAGACAACTGAATATAATGGATTATGAAATAAACTAACGTAAACCTTTATGCCGTCCGACTGTTGTCAGGAATCTCTTGTAGTATGGAATAAAATTAAGTTTTTAATTTTTTTTTTAATTTTATGTTTAGCGGTCAGAATTTCATTACCCATGGGAGCGATTCCTCATGGCATGGTCAAGTTTCTATATACTTCTGATTTATCGATTTGACATTTTTTTTTTTTTTTTACAGCACAAGGATGAAATTGATGCATTTTATAGTACATTTCTGATAGTAGTGCAACTTAAAAATTATTATTGCGGTATTAATTATTATTGGGGAGAGTGTGTCATATAACTCGATAGGAGCACAGGAAAATACCGACAAAACAAAACGTATGAATTTCTTATTTTCTTCCCATGATGTATGATGATGATGATGATGATGGATACTAGAAAGGAGGGGTTTATGTTCCCAAGCCCTGCAGCCTTCTGGCTTACTATACTTTCCTTCTTAGTTCAGTGCAATCGATACGATCTTTCTCCAAAGAAGTTCTAGGCATTGACTGTCATTGCTACAATTCCTATGCGTGGAACTTCGTATCCCAGGTTGTCTTCATTAAGGAGTTACTTCGTATTCGAAGATTGATATTTCTTCCTACTCTTGCATAACTTACAAATGGGGTCATCATTGAATAACCCATCTGGGAAGATTTTTTCTCAGGTGGCAATGACCAATAGTCTATCACTCCTCTGAATTTAACCCTTCCTAAATGAAGTAGCATAGTTTTATCGTAAAATTTTGTGTAATAAAGATTCGCGGGTATGAGGTACTTCTGCACATCTGACTCCCAAAAAGAGCTCGTCAAAATTGAACAGGCCGAAATGGAATCCATTAAAAGTTTATTGCATTCATAAAGAAAGAGGCCAACGCTCGTCTCCCTTCTGATTGCCTTCCGTTGATAAATGTTTAAAAAATAAAATGATACAACGATGGGCGGAGGGCATAAATATGTAAAAAGAGTTATAAAGTAATGTTTGATTGTACGTTAGCCTGGGTGGGGGCTTCTCGAGGTGGCCCTATCTTTTAATCCGGCTTCCAAGAGATTTTCATACTAATGCACTGTCTGCTCCATCTTGGTGTTACGTGACACTCACACGCCGCATGCCATTGGAAAAACATAAATACATAAACAAACGGCCCTTTTATTTTAACGTCAACCCGCTTTTTATGAATCGTCAGCCGCTTGACACTCCGTCCGATTATCCTTATTGATTTAGCGTTTCAGTTCCGATCGGGTTTTATAACTTTATTAATTTGCTTTCACTTGCTTCCTTTTCTTCTTTCTGTAGTAAAATGTGCATCATTGGATCATTTTCTCTAATTAGGGGCGTCGGTGGCCGATGCGGGTTAGGCGTTGAAACGGCGCTCATCGCTGTAAGGGAAATGCTTCGGGTTCGAATACAGCGGTCCTGCTGATACGAATGTTTTTTTGTTTTTGTTTTTCAAAAACATCATAACCTCGAGGCTTCGTATAACCTCGTCGTTGAAATACCCTCGGGGAAAAAAATACATTTTCCTAGCTTCAGTCACTGATTAGTAAATTCAAAAATTCTGGGAGGTGTCAATTTGCGCACTTTTTCCAAAAATTGAGCTGTGTGTAGTAGCTTTCAGTAAAGCTCCTAAGCTTTCAATTGATCACCTTCCACTTTGCCCGATTTCCCAACCGTTTTCGAGTTATTTGCGATTTTTGGGCAAAAAACGCGGTCCCGATCGATCACTCTCCCGATTTACAAGAATACATAAATCTTGAACCGTCGTGTTTTCGCAAATTTTACTCTCTACAACTTTTTTCAGAGGGCTTTTTCAAAAAGGGAAGCGACAATTCTCACTTTTTTTTATTTTGACCTTTTGGATGAGGAAAGTTTCTGCTGTCGATAACCACATGTTTACCTCATCACGGCAATTTAACTTTTCCTTCCCGTTTCACAGGTGTTATGTGGCAATTTAGCTTCCAATAACGTATTGAAAAAATAGGTTTATGTATAGGAAAATCAGGGATAGAGAGAAAGAGAGAGAGAGAGAGAAAGAAAGAAAGAGAAAGAGAAAGAGAGAGAGAGAGAGAGAGAGAGGGAGTGAGAGAGAGAGAGAGAGAGAGTCATAACCACGATTTTTACCAAAAAATGACCCCCACAAAAAAAAGTGTGTGTGTGTGAAGATATTTCACAGTTGTCAGTGCACATCACTCCTCATGAGGATATTCTATCCAAGTCTCATGATTGACTGAATCTAATTATAGTACACTAAAGTTAAATCACGTGATCGTTTTAACACTTAAAAATCAAGTTAAGCTTGTTGGCAAAGTATTATTCGGCAAATCGACAATCGATGATGATTTAATCATAATTCTGACAAACATTCTTCTACGACAGATTATTTCGAAAATACAAAAATTGATGAATATGATAATAACATTAAAATACAAAAACCCAATGATTGAAAAATAAAAAACCGTTGTTTTTACTAAATCTAGCGAAATACCATCAAAATATACATAAAATTGAAGATAAACTGTCAAATGTATTATTGGTTTATAGTACAAATTTCAACCAATAATTTAAAATTCAACTAAGAGTAAAAGAAATAGAGAAAAAATGAAATAGCACTAGCATGAGAATGACAATTTATGAACCTTACTTTCTTGAAAATGTACCACCTGCTGGAGCTGTTATGTTATGAGTATAAAAGACTATTTTGGATATTTGGGACGAATAAATTTTCTTGCCTCAGGATTAAATAGGCGAAATTCTACGTTTGGCGAATTGAGGAAAATCACATGGCAGAGAGGCCAGTATAGCATCATAGCTCAGTAGATAAGTTTCATCGGAATTCCGTCCCCGGTTCGTCCCATTGGCAATTCATGAACGGGAGGGAGGGAGAAGAGGGAAGGAGAGATAGGAGAGCGAGCCGGAGGGTGAGCCCGGCAGCTGTAGCTTTCCCACTGTCTGCAGGCTAATCCGACGAACAACAACACCCCCCCAAAACAATCACCGTTCCACCATTGTGTCACCGCACTCCCTGCCCTTTCCTCTTTTATGCCCTCCCTTCCAGGATAAAAAAAACAGTGGTCCCTCGTCGGGTTGTCACTCTCTGAAAGAGTAACTCTTTCTCTATTTTCCACCGGGCCCCTTGCTTTTTCCCGTCTTCGCTCGGCGGTGATATCGCTTTACGAGATGATTTCCTCTTTCCGAAGTCACCTATTCTACACGGATCCGGTTACACAAGGGCAAAAGCTAATTCCTGCTTCCTACCATGAAAAAATCTTTTCTGGAAGCTAAACTTTATCTCTTGGGATTTAGAGATTTTGTTTTAACAAAACCAGACACATTTTGCCATAAAAACATGAAATAAAGCATTTAAATACTTCTCCAAGCTTGAACCACTGCCATTAACGTTATGGATTTTTGAAACGTGCAGTAATAGCCTCACGACAGAAGAAGCTTGCTTCCTTCCCTCCCCCCGGAAAAGCTGTGTTTGTAGAGAGAGAAAGTGCGTGTGTGTGTGTGTGTGTGTGTGTGTGTGAACGAGCGAAGAATGAAGTAGAGATTATAAGGATAAAGTACTTTGAACCGTATCTGCAATGCAGAATAGTACTCCAGCAAGATCTGCCAAACAGGATATATAATTTATCAGTCCTACCGCATATTTCTAATCGAGATTTAGAAAAAAAGGCAACTTATGCTTTATTCAATTTATATCACGAGAGAAATAGAGAAGGGGAGGAGAGATTTTCTGATTAAACTGTGTAATTACATTTTTCGATTTTCAACGTATACCACCCAAGTCACGATTTTGAAATGTTAGGCCGCAATTTGGACATTACTAAATTTTAAAAAGAACCACTATTCGACAGCCTCACCCACAGGAAACACTCCGTTTTATGTCAAAGAAGTACACAGCATTAGTTAGAAGGTAAAAGCACAGAAATAAATAAATACATGCATCAGATCTAGAATCTTGAACCTACTTGCAAAGCAGGAACCTTAGCAACAAAGCCAATTACTGTATTTGTATATATGGAGAGAGAGAGAGAGTGAGAGAGAGAGAGAGACAGAGAGAGAGAGACTGATAATTATAAAAATTAACAGTCGAATGTTTTTTGATTCTTACGCATTTTGATGTTTGTTTATTAA